GGGCGCTGCAGGGCCGGCTTGACGGCCAACTTGGGCGTCTTGGAGGCCGTCTTGCGCCCTCTTGGGGCCCTTTGGGGGCCGTCTTGGGAACCTCTTGGGTCGTCCCGGGGCCATCTTGGAGGCCTCTTGGGCGACCTTGGGGCAACATTGGGGGCCTCGTGGGCCGGGCCGTCTTGGGCCGTCGAAAGGCCGAAGCAGTGCAAAGAGTACACTCCTTAGTAACACGGTGAGAACTCTTCGGGCTTCCCTGCAGGCTCTCTTGGGGGCCTCTTCTGGCTTCCCTGCAGGCTCTCTTGGGGGCCTCTTGGGCCATCTTCGCGGCATCTTGGGCGTTTCTTGGGCCGTCTTGGGCTTTCCTGGACCGCGATCTTGGAGGCATCTTGGGACCATCTTGGAGGCCATCTTGGGGTCATCTTGGGCTCCCTTGGGGCCGTCTTGGCCGTATGGAAAGCATCGTGGCCCTCATGGAGAGCCACTTGAGGCAATGTCTGTTACTGCTTTTGTTCAAAAAGCTGACGGAGGAGCAGCCGGTGGAAATGGGCCGCAGCCCAAGGGGGAGTTTCAATCTTGAAAAGAACCAAACCAAGCCGTAAGAAACAAAGCACGCCAGGCACCCCTGTGGCAGACCAACAGGGGCGGCGGATCGACTTTTTTCCTTGTGGCCTTCGGCCATTTCGCCACCGTGGCTGGATTGTGCGGTCATAGGCCTTTAAGGGGTATGGTCCTTGTCGCGGGTGGCCGCCCCCCCCCCTGGCGCCGACCAATCCATATCTGACAAGCTGCATACGCATGAATTCTCGGAGATCCGCTCGGACATGATGGATCGGCGCTGGGCTTCCGTTGGCGGCGCCTGTGGCGCTGCCCGTGGCGCGCTTCGCGCGCCAGGGAGGGCAGCGGGTCTGAGGAGCGCCGCCGACCCGCCCAGATTTCGGCCGTCGCCGTTCTGGCTCAAGCGCTGTCTGCAGCCAGCCTGATCTGCGAGCACTCCCACCACATCCCAACCTGCCACCAATGACCTCGGCCACGGAGCGCATGGAGCTCGCGGAGGCCGCGGCGAGGCGAGCGGGTCGGAGCAGTTCTTGGTCCAGGACGCTCGCGCCCCGGCGTTCGCCCTGGCGGGCGGCGGGCGGCGCAGGCGTGGCCGCCCTGCTCCTGGCCGGTTGCAGGCGCGGGGGCAGCGCGCTTGGCGCCGCACGGGGCGGCCTCGGACACGGACCGCCTGCAGAGCAAGGTGCAGACGATAGCCCTGCCGCCGCGCGACAAGTGCGCCAGCACGGACGACGACTGCTACAGCCTGGGGTGCTGCAACGTTGCGGGCCTGAACTGCTTCGAGACCAAGCCGGGGAAGGGCAAGTGCCTGAAGAATTGCACCCCCAGTGCCTCCCAGCTGTGCGTTCAGACGCAGCCGATCATGGACCCGATCCTCAAGGATGCCGACTGGTACGGCCCGTCATTGTATTGCTTCGCAGTGGTCATGCAGGACATCGGCAGCACAAAGAAGATGTACGACTTGGAGCTGCTCCAGGGAGCATACGGCAGGAAGACCAGCATCTTCGGGTGCGAGAATTGGGGAGTATTCAGCGACAAGGAGGGGAGGTCGGGCCCGGCGCTCCGCTCGTGAAGCTGGAGGATGCCGACGGGGACTTCCATTTCGCGAAGAGAGAGGAGACCGGCACCTGGCTGAATACGGGCTTGCATTACCAGGCTTGGAAGGCAATTGGGGAAGCCGGCGTGTACAAGAGCGCCAACTGGGTCGTGAAGGTCGATCCAGACGCGGTGTTCGTGCCGAGCCGCTTGGTGTCCTACCTCTCTAGCAAGGTGGTCCCGGCCAACGGCCTATACCTCGAGAATTGCAAAGGCGTGAAGTACGGGTGGTTCGGCAGCTTGGAGATCTTCTCGGCAGTGGCCTTTCAGACGCTCCTGGGATCGATGGCCTCGTGCAAGGACACCGTCGATTGGAAAACGGGCATTGACGGAGGCAAGTACGGCCCCATGGGCGAGGATCTGTTTGCGCAGGTTTGCCTGGATACGAACGGCGTCTCGCGTGGAGAAGCTTTCGGCACCAAGCTGGACGGAACTTGCGAGGCGGACCGGCCAATCGCCGAGAAGAAGAACAAGAAGTGGAAGCCCACGTGCGACGGCGAGAATTTCCCCGCGTACCACCCGCTGATGAAGCCCGAGGACTATATGGCGTGCTTGGATGCCACCACCAAAGCATTTGGCTACTGAGCGCCCTCCAGGAGCCAGTGAAGCTGCGGTGCGCCAGGCAGAGCGGCCTGTCCGCGTGCCTCTCACTTCTGCGCTTGCTGTTTTGGGTCGTTGCATACATTTTTCGCGCTGCCCTGGCCACTCCTCCCCACACAAAGCTGGTGTTGAGCAAAGATGTGTCTGAGGCAGTAGGCAGCCTGGCGCTGCTTAATCATGGGAGTCCCCCATTTTCTCCGGGCTCGTCCTGGCGGCCCCCAATGGCCAGCGAAAGCATCATCACCGTAAGTATGCAGTTCCCTGTCGTGGATCAGCATCTGCTTCTCCACGGAGGCCTGTGCGATGCTCTGAGCTTCATATGTTTATCTAGCGCCCCGCTCTGCATCGGTGCGGCGAGGGCGACAAAGGACAAGTTCCTCGCCAATCTCCCTGTACACATCCTCGCGAATTTTCAAATTTTCGGATTAATCGAAGACGCCTACGGCGATTCACCGCCGCCCTCTGCCGTTTACGATACGCCCATGTGGCCAAACGTTTGGGCAAAGTTTGGCCACGCTATCGGACCATGCGTTCCCCCCAGCCGTTGTGGAAGCCTTTCGGGGGACACGTGAGGGAGGAAGAGGAGGATGAGGAGAGGGAGGAAGAGGAAGCATGAGACGAAGGATGCGGAGACCTCATGGGAGCTTCTTGGGTCATTCTTGGGGCCTCCTGGGAGCTTCTGGGGGCCTCTTGGAGGCCTCTTAGGGGCCTGCTTGGGCCTCTTAGGGTGCCTTTGGGGGCTCCTTGGGGGCCTCCTTTGGCAATCTTACAGCGTTCCTAGCCCGACGGAAGCCGTTTTGGGAGCCTTTCTCGGCCGTCTTGGGGCCCTCTTGGGGCGCTGCAGGGCCGTCTTGACGGCCAACTTGGGCGTCTTGGAGGCCGTCTTGGGCCGTTTTGGGGCCCTTTGGGGGCCGTCTTGGGAACCTCTTGGGCCGTCCTGGGGCCAGCTTGGAGGCCTCTTGGGCGATCTTGGGGCAATATTGTGGGCCTCGTGGGCCGGGCCGCCTTGGGCCGTGGAAAGGCCGAAGCAGCGCAAAGGTTACACTCCGTAGTAACACGGTGAGACTTCAATGATGTTGGCCTCTTCGGGCTTCCCTGCAGGCTCTCTTGGGGGCCTCTTGGGCCATCTTCGGGGCATCTTGGGCGTTTCTTGGGCCGTCTTGGGCTTTCTTGGACAGCGATCTTGGAGGCATCGTGGGATCATCTTGGAGGCCATCTTGGGGTCATCTTGGGCTCTCTTGGGGCCGTTTTGGCCGTCTTGGAAGCCGCCACATTGAGGTAATCTTCACCGAAAAGGCCGACGGGAGGACCACCCGGTGCAATGGGCCGAAACCCCAAGGGAGTTCATGCCGAAAAGGACCAAAACCAAGCCGGAAAAAACTCAGCACGCCAGGCACCCCTGTGGCAGGACCAACAGGGTGCGGCGGATCGAGCGGCCTTCGGCCCATCCCGCCACCGTGCCTGGGTTGTGGGTCATAGGCCTCTAGGATGGTCCTTGACATGTCGCGGGTGTGGCCTGTCGAGGGCCTCGTGGAGGCACTTTTGAAGCTTCTTGGAGGCTCCCACCGAAGGCCCCGGTAGCAGCGCCCGCATGCGGTTCCGCCGCTATTTGCACGAACCCCTCACACGTGCCACGGCCCCATAGGGAGCTCCACCTGAGGCCCCAGTGGCAGCGCCCGCGTGGCGGTCCCGCTACAGTTCGGCACGCCCTTCGCGCGCGTCGTGGCCCCACGAGGAGATCCACCGACGGCCCACAACTGCATCTGGTTGACCCCCTTCCCGGGGTAGGAAGAGGTCCAGACCTGTGGGTCCCGCTGTTCGCAAGCATCGGCCCATCGCGGGGTCTGGTTACACAGGCGAGCAGGAGGAGGAGGAGGAGGAGGAGGAGGAGGAGGAGGAGGAGGCCCTTCGCCAGGCTAATGCTTCTCTTGCTTTTTCTTCCTCTACGGGTGCAAAGGGCGCGACCCCCCTGGATGCGCCACCCCGTGGGTGCCTCCCGCGCGGGGGGCCTCCGCGCAGAGGCGCCCTCTGCACCCGTGGGGTCGCTGCCCGTGGGCTTGACCTGGCAGCGCTCGGGCGTGTGCCTTGTTCCTTCGGCGAGGACCATCGAGGAGCATCCTTGACCATTTTCAGGAGGGAAAGAAACACACAGACACAATTAATCGTCGATTCCCAGGAAAATGTAGGAAAATATGGGAAGTGGGGGGGAAGACAAAAACCCAGGAAATATAAGAAAATATGGGGAATAATTTTATGTGTGTATTTATTTGTGTGTCCTGGGGCCCCTTCACATTTGGCGAAAAAAACACGCACGAAACCGAAAAAAACACAGGGAATGGACGTCCGAGCGATGGCAGGTTGAGCGGCGAGGCCGTGGCTGTGGCTGTGGGTGCATGTTTCTCGCCTCGTGACCAGCTGCGCGTCCGTCGACGTGGCGCTCGGCTCGGCCAGAGGAGGAGGAGGAGGAGGAGGAGGAGGAGGAGGAGGAGGAGGAGGAGGAGGAGGAGGAGGAGGAGGAGGAGGAGAGAGCGGAGGAGGAGGAGGAGGAGGAGGAGGAGGAGGAGGAGGAGGAGGAGGAGGAGGAGGAGGAGAGAGCGGAGGAGGAGGAGAGGAGGAGGAGGAGGAGGGAGGAGGAGGAGGAGGAGGAGGAGGAGGAGGAGGAGGAGGAGAGAGCGGAGGAGGAGGAGGAGAAGGAGGAGGAGGAGGAGGAGGTCTCCTCCGTGGAGATCGGGGCCCCCTCCCGCGCCCGGCCGGAGGCGGAATTCACGAGCACGGCTGGTGAGGACTGCCTCGGGCTCTGGGGCTGCCTCGGGCGATGCCCCCCCCCCTGCAAGAGGAGCAAGCCGCGGACGACTTGTGTGCACCGTACCGCGTTGGCGATGTGGAAGTCGATTAATGGGGATGTCTAATCAATGTTTCAAACATGCTTTAAATATGTCAAAAACATGTTTGAAATATGTTTAGACCATGTTTGACACATTTAAAACACATGCTTAAGCCAATGATAGGATTGTCTGAGTGTCCATTGTCATGGCATCCACGACGCTGGCGTCTCCCGAGGGGTCGTCGAGACTGGACCCAGGATTGGTACGGTGCATGCTTGTTCTGGCCTCGCGGCCAGAACAAACTATGCACTGCACTGGCGCTGGAGTGGCGCTTGAAGGGAGTCCACGCATGGTACGGTGCATGCGTCCCGTTCTCGCAGGCAGAGGGCAGGGCGGACGAGGGCGGGGAGAGGCGGGGACGGCGGAGGAGAGGAGGGAGGCTCGTCGGCAGATTTCCGCTCCTCCCTGGGGAAGTCACGGGGGAGGATATTGCTTTTGTTACTCGGTGAATCCGTGACGTCCGTTGCGGGCCCCCCCCCCTTCTCCCCGTAGCGTGCCAAGTGTGCGCGGGGGGGGGGGAGGGGGCGGCTTCCGCACAGGCACGGCGCGAGGTTGACAGGCATCTTGCGGTGCTGACGGGGACGCTTCGATGCTCACAAGAGAGCTGTGGTGCTCGCAGGCCTGACCCCCCCCCTTCCCCCAGAACGGACGTTCCAGGGGGGAATACAAAACAATCTCGAGGGGAGGAGGAGGACGATGGGAATAGGGAGGGGTGGAGTGGGCGCCATGACAATGTCATATGATACTACGGTGCACGTGCCCTGATCTCGCGGAGCAACGAGACGACATGGTTGAACACGCACGCGCACGCACCGGAAGTCGAAATACACGAAAATACACGGCTGGCGGAGACAGCCTCTTAGAACAGAGCGATTGTGAAATATCACGGCACACCAGGAAAGTTTGCAAGCAACACATCGCACACACACACACACGGAAGCCACTTCCAAGCGATCGACATCGTGTGAAGGCACGGCCCATCATTGGGAAACATCATTGACATCAGCTTTAGGCCAAGCCTTTCACTTTATTGGACGCACCTCATGTTCCTCGGCGTTTCTCCGTACGTCTCCCGTGAACCAAGATTGAAATACTTTCGCCCGTGAGCAACAATTTGGAAGATAAAAAACAAATACCAGGCACCTCGAGTAGCAGGATGAAGATGATCAAAACCACTGAGCACGGGTGGCTCGGACCCGAAAGCACGGGTACCACCACGCAGATGAACATGGCAACATTGATGTAGCATTGAATGTGGTGTCCTTCGAGCTCCAGAAACACAACTCCATATCAAATCCAGCAAATCGAAAGTTGTACTCAAATGACTCGTCCAGTCTCTCCATCCGACAGCTGTTGCACAAACAATGCCGCGGCAGGAATCGGAGCCACCCAAGCGCCACGTTCAGGCATTGGACGCGACATCGGTGGGGACAGGGAGGGGGGAAGCAGAGGGAGGAGGGAGAACGAGCAGGCGGAGGATGAGGGCCAATCCTTGCAGCCGCCGCTCATCCTCCCCTCTCGCTTCTCCCCCCTTCCCCCGTTCGCCGCCTCCCCCCCCGTCACCCATCCTCCGCAGCTCTCCTTTCCAATTTAACTTTACCTCAATTGGACGAGAAGACTTCGGGCCTGGGCACCATACTGCAAGCTGCGGAGGATGAGTGCATATGATGCATGCCGACAGCCGTCTGAGGCGAGAAAGCTTCGTGGGGGGGGCTCTCTGGTGGAGTCATGTTGAGGCAAGCGACAGGCGCAAGACGAGCGCGCCATCTCCGTTGGGCAGCTGCAGTGCTACTTTTCACCGCTGTCGGCTTCCTCATTTAAAGACTTCGGGGAAAGCGAACACGCAGGACATAGCGAAGGCGAAGGAGAAGAGCAAGCGTATCCAGGAGCCCGTGGCGGAGTCTCTTCACGTGACCCGTCTGAAGTCAAGTCAGGGATCCGATTGGAATGTTGCAGAATCTTGCCCACACGGGCCCAAGTATAACACAGTGTTGGAAGCGTGGCTGAAAACAAAGTGCGCGAGGAGGAGGAGGAGGACATGCGGCTGGAGTGACACGCAGACGTCACCGGTGAGTGGCGGGCGGCGCGGCAGCTCGCCGAGCCACGACACGACGAACGCCACGCGCGGGTGGAGATGGTTCTGCCAGCCCTGCGCGCCGCCGGCATCGCGGACTCGCGGAACGGCGTCGTCGTCGACGTCGTCGTCGACGTCGTCGTCGACGATGCAAGCATCGCGAAAGGTCGACGACTGGGACAGCATCAGCGCTAGCCAGGCTTCGGCATTGCAGCACCGCGCACGCTACACAAGCTCAGTCGGCGGCGAGCGAGGGGGGGAAGTGAGAAGGGGACGGCCATCTCAGAAGGGGGCGGGACTTCTCAGAAGCCCTCGCGCCTTCTGGGAGGTTTTCTGTGTCTCCCGGGAAGGCTCAGCAGGCCGGATGACTTCCGAGCCTTCTGAGAAGGCCTTCTCCTCCTCACTTCCCCCCCTCGCTCGCCGCCGACTCAGGGCCCTCCGCAACCAGGCGGGACGCCGACGAGCTGCAGCGCATCACTGCCCCGGCCCCTCAAAACAGCGAGCCCCCCTCCCGGGCGCGCAGCTGCCAGAGCCCGCGGCCACGGGCGGAGGGCGGCCTCACCGCGGGACGCTGGCCCGCTCTCCCTGGGGCGACCCGCCCCGCCGGGCTGTCGCGAGGGGCCCGCTGCGGCAGGCCGCGGCCGCAGGGGCGCGCTGCGGGAGTGGCGGCCGCCGTACGGGCCGCGCGATGCTCCCCGCCGCGCGGGCGCGCGGGCTCAGACCCAGCTCCGCCCGGGCCTCCCCCAGCCGCGCCCCTCTCGGGGCCCTGCGCGCGGCGCGGCCGGGCTGGCCCGCGCGAGGGGGGGGCGGCGGCAGGAAGGCCCACGAGGGGCCCGGGGGATCCTTGCTCACACTGTCCTTGCAGGCAGAACTTCGGAGCCAGGTCGGGACAAGAAGTTCTGGTCTTCGGGAAGAAAGCGCTCGGCAACACGAGGTGTGGCCCACGCTCCGCAGACGCCTCCATCCCAAGTGATCGGGGGCGACCGTCGAGCTGGACGGAGTTGGCCGCCTGTGGTGAAGCGGCTCTGCGGCGTGGATGCAGAACAAAGCCGCAACTCTGACGAGACTCTGTGGGCCCGCGTGCCCTGTTGGCATGAAGGAAATGGGTCCTGAGGGAAACGGGTCCTTGACCCCCGAGCCTCTACTCGGGACCAGATCTTGATCCGGAGCTGCTCTCTGACGCCCTCGGGGCTAGTCGAGGGCCCCCAGAGCCCGAACATGGTGAAAAACCTTAGGACCGCTGCCAAGCTTTCGCGGCCCGGCGCGTGCACGGCTGGGACGTCTACGGTTCTGATGAGACTCCGTGGGCCCGCGCGCCCCAAGACAGCCCGCCGCGGGCGGATGGGCGAAGCCGCGGCTGGTCGTCGGCGTGGGCAGCGGGAGCGACGACGCCCGCGGAGTGTGGACTCCCGCGGGGGCCCGCCTGAGAGGGCGGGTGCTGACCCTTGGGGGGGCAGCGCGGCGGTGGCCACGCCGCGCGCAGCTTAGCTCGGAGGAGAATCTCCCCCCCCAGGGCCCATCAGGAGGAGGAGCAGGAGGAGGAGGAGGAGGAGGAGGAGGACGAGGAGGACGAGGAGGACGAGGAGGACGAGGAGGAGGAGGAGCAGGAGGAGCAGGAGGAGGAGGAGGAGGAGGCCGGAGGAGGAGGAGGAGGGGGAGGGGAGGGGCTTGAGGGGGAGGGGGAGACAGGGAGGGAGGAGGAGGAGGAGGAGGAGGAGAGGAGGAGGAGTGAGGATGAGGAAACATGGAGGAGCAGAGGAGCAGGAGGAGCAGGAGGTCGGACGAGGAGGAGGAGCAGGAGAGGAGCAGGAGCAGGATCAGGAGTAGGAGGAGGAGGCAAAGGCGGAGGAGGAGGAGGAGCAAGGAGGATGATGATGATGATGATGATGAGATGATGATGATGATGATGATGGATGATGATGATGATGATGATAATGGTGATGGTGATGGTGATGGTGATGGTGATGGTGATGGTGATGGTGATGATGATGATGATGATGATGATGCTGCTGATGATTGCTGATGCTGATGAATGAATGATGATGATGATGAGGTGATGATGATGCTGATGATGATGATGATGTGGTGATGATGCTGATGATGCTGATGCTGCTGCTGATGATGATGATGATGATGATGTTGATGATGATTAGGATGATGATGATGTTGATGATGCTGATGATGACGATGTTTATGATGATGATGATGATGATGATGATGATGATGATGATGATGATGATGATGATGATGATGATGATGATGATGATGATGATGATGATGATGATGATGATGATGATGATGATGATGATGATGATGATGATGATGATGATG